ACCCTGATTGATAAATTTGGGAAATGCTGCAAATAATTGTCCCCCTCCCCCTTTGTAGTTTCACAATATACATTTCCCTGTGAAGCACTGGAAAATAAAATAATTCAACTTCTTTAACTCAGAATTTCATCAGCTTACTTTTTTTCTGTCATAGACCTTTTTTTTTTTTTTTTTCAAGAAAACCTATTAATTAGCCATAGGAACCAAATTTCATTCATAGAATCCAGCTTGATAGAAACTGGGGAAGATGTGATATGATTGTAGCAAGAGCAAGGTGATTGCAGACTCAAGCAATCTAACAATGTTTCAGACACAAGTTGGAATATGAGCCTGGCAATATGGAAAATAGAATTTAGATAAAGAGGATAAAAGGATTTCACAGATAACAAAATGTTAGCCATAGAAATCGAATTAATCTGGTAAATATGGGGCTGAACTATGTCTTGATATCAAATCTCAACAATCTTGCCAATTTTTCTTTAGGATGTTTAGTAAGAACTGCAGAAGTATTTTTCTTTAAAGTTTCATAGAGAAGTTGAGAATTTAACTAGCGTTTGAGGAGGAGTTGGTTGGGTAGGTGGTGTGGAAAAGAGAAGGAAAAATGTAAAGGTTTCCGAGCCTTAGTGGGGGTGAGGGCGGGAGGGGTGGGGGATTGGACAGGCAGATTTGCATTCATTGAGAGTTCTCCACTCAGGCTTTTCTGTATATTTATTGTTAAATTCTCAATTCAGCAATCCTCTAAAGTGGTTATTACTCTATCTCTTTTGCAAACAAGTTAATCTGGGGTTCACAGAGCTTATGTAATGTATCCAATAACACACAGCAGAGTTTCAATTGTAATCTAAATTACACACACTCTTCCCATTATACCACACTGCCTCTTAAATTCAATTGGAAATTAAGCACACACACACTTCTCTCTCTTTTGTTGTTTCCAGTCCCATCACCTCATTACATTCTCAATAAAGTCTCTCTCTCTCTCTCTCTCTCTCTCTCTCTCTCTCTCTCTCACACACACACACACACACACACACACACACACCACTTCCCTCCCATGCCTCATCTCCACACAGACACATAGAAAATGTGCTCTTAATTTATCTGAATGTAATCATGCTGTCCTGTATGGTAGCCACAAGCCACATGTGGCTGTTGAGCACTTGAAAGGTGGCTAGTCCAAACTGAGATGTGAGTGTAAAATACAAATCAGATCTCAAAACCTTAGAACAAAAATAAAGTAATAATAATAATTAATAAATTTCATACAGATTATATTTTTGAGGATAATATTTTGAATATATTGGGTTAAATATATGATTCTTTTTTTTTTAATTTTTTTTTTCAACGTTTATTTATTTTTGGGACACAGAGACACAGAGCATGAACGGGGGAGGGGCAGAGAGAGAGGGAGACACAGAATTGGAAACAGGCTCCAGACTCTGAGCCATCAGCCCAGAGCCTGACGCGGGGCTCGAACTCACAGACTGCAAGATCGTGACCTGGCTGAAGTCGGACGCTTAACCGACTGCGCCACCCAGGCACCCCTTAAATATATGATTCTTAAAGTTAACTTCACTTGTTCCTCTTTCCTTTCTCGAGAAACTGCTAGAAATTTTTGAATTACATGTGCAGGTTATATTTATGGCTTAAGTTATATTTCTGTTGTACAGTCTGGTATATAATATCAACATTTTTTTTGTCCTTTTGAAATTCTCAAGATTCCTCCCACGATTAGGATTAATCCCCTGAAATGCAAGTCCTCGTAAATGTCTGACACATTAAGCCATTAACTTTTCTGAATGAATTTATCGGAAATTAGCCCAATCATCTGGAAAGGCCCTGAATGAATGGGCTGAGGCAGGAGGGGAAAAAAAAAAAAAAAGATTCAGATAAAATCAAGTCCAGGTAGAGAAGGTGGGGGAAATGAACGGCCTGCTGCATTTGGTGATACAGGAAGTTGGGCAGGTTACCAGAGAAGAAGGGGCTCAGGAAGTTGGAAAGACACTGCAAAATAAAAGAACTGCCAATGTGACAGTGTACCCAGGATGGGCTCTAAACATCCATCTTCATGAGTTCTCTTTTAAAAACTAAAGTTTGGAGGGGCACGTGGGTGGCTCAGTCAATTGAGCATCCAACTCTTGGCTTCGGCTCAGGTCATGATCCCAGGGTCTTGGGATCGAGCCCTGTGTCCAATTCTCTCTCTCCCTTTGTCCCTCTGCCCAACTCTTGCTCTCTCTCTGAAACCTAAATTTTGCTCTGTAAAAATTATGATCTTTTTTTTAAAGAAACTTTCTTTTTTAATGTTTATTTATTGATTTTGAGAGAATGACAATCCCAAGAGGGCTCCACGCTGTCAGCACAGAGCCCTGTGCAGGGCTCAAACTCACGAACCATGAGATCATGACCTGAGCTGAAATCGAATGGGATTCTTAACCATCTCAGCCACCCAGGCACCCCTCTAAAACTTATTAACTTAATGCCAAAGATAGGCTCTGATCCCATAATTCCAAGGAAGATCTCAGTGCTGCAATCCAGCCAGGGCTTTCTGGTGCCCCTCAGACTCATCAAGTGCCATTGATGTTGTTGGGGTTGGACTGGAAGGAGAGTTGTCATGCTTGTGCCCTTAACAAATTACCGGCCCAGTGAGGCTGGCTCAGAGTCTCAGGGCTTGGAAGAGAAAGGATGAATAACGAACAGCAAATAGTGGGGTTTTATTTACCTCAGTTATTTTGAAGAAAATGATCACTATTTCTGATAATAGAGCCTCCCTTGCCATCAGTTTTCAATTAGTTGTTTCATCACACCTATACGTTTATCCCTGATGTGGAAATAGTCTCTGAGGACATATTACAAGCACATACTTATTTAGGCAATTTGAATACTCTTCTGACTGAAGGTGAGAAATCGTGTGTGTGCTTCAATCACAGTTTTAAAATGTTAAAATGTGTAGCAAGTAGTGAAGAAAATGGCACTATTTTAGATTCTTTTGTTTTATGTAACTTAGCATTTAGATGTCACTGTACATGACCTCTCAAGTCAGGACGATTTAGAAGACAAAATGCGATTTTTAAAAGCAGGTGAGGGTGGAATCTTATCTTTTGAAATACTGTGTTTATATAAGTGACCGTATGTTTTGTATGTTGTAAAAATACAAAAGTCCATTAAGTGGTGGGAAAATACTGGGAAAAGGGTCTCAGCCCAGTAATTATTAACTGTGTCACCTTGGGTCAATTACTTCATGAAATTTGTTTCTCTCCTCTAAATCGAGGATAATTAAATCTCCCTCTGGAGGTTGGGGTGAAAAAAGCAAATTCAATGGACTATAAGTTACAACTACCACTCTGGAACAGAACAGATGCTAACACCCTCAGTGTACTGCTGCCATTTTTTTTTTAATGTTTATTTATTTATTTTGAGAAAGAGGGGGAGAAAGAGAGAGAGAGCGAGAGAGCAGGGGAGGGACAGAGAGAAAGAGAGAGAGAGAATACCAACCAGCCTCCATGCTGTCAGTGCAGAGCCCGACATGGGGCTCTATCTCACAGATTGTGAGATCATGACCGGAACTGAAATCAAGTCAGATGCTTAACCAACGGAGCCACTCAGGCACTCTGTACTCCTTCCATTTTTAAAGGAAAGGCACTATCTCCTTCACTCAAGGAGCTTCAATCATGAATCGGGACATCTTAGAATGATTCAAGCTTTCTTTGTAAATTCCTAAGTCTATTGTCACAGACACAGAGCACCTGTCTCTGGGAGGCCACTCCATCCCTGTTGCCCAGAGGTACTCCTTTCACCTCTCTTGCTTGTGTAGTAAGAAAACAACAGTGTTCTCTATCTCAGACGAGTGATCAGTTTGACTCTTACAACACTTCTATCTCTATCCAGTAGCCCTTCCTTAAAAATGCCATCTTCATTTTGCACTTGAATCTTAACTAGAGAGCCTTTCCAAGACCGTAAGATGATGACAGGACTCGAGATTTTATCTCAGCCTCCAAGACTGTGGAAACTTTCCAGCTCTCCTGGAAAGTTATAGGACCACTGATTTCTATTCATTCATCGGGAAAAGCTTTCAAACGGGCAGATCCTTCCAAAATGGATCCAGTAGCCTCAGGGGATAATAAGTTTCCCATCACTGGAAGTGCTCTGGCAGGTGTTAAAAGACAACATGTTTGGGGCGCCTGGGTGGCGCAGTCGGTTAAGCGTCCGACTTCGGCCAGGTCACGATCTCGCGGTCCGGGAGTTCGAGCCCCGCGTCGGGCTCTGGGCTGATGGCTCGGAGCCTGGAGCCTGTTTCCGATTCTGTGTCTCCCTCTCTCTCTGCCCCTCCCCCGTTCATGCTCTGTCTCTCTCTGTCCCAAAAAATAAATAAATGTTGAAAAAATAAAAAATAAAAAAAAAAAAAAAGACAACATGTTTATTCACTGAGTAATTATTTAATGAGTCTCTACCTTGTGCCTGTGATGGGGTCCTGTGGGTAGAAAGTGAGTAAGAAAGGTAAGCTCCCTGAGTCAGGGTGCTTTTGATCTAGTAGAGGAGACAAATACAAAGGCAAATAACGTTATATTTTGCTAAACGTGTAATAGCAATAATTGTCAGGTTTTAGAAACATGGAGGAGGGCAACTAATACCTAACGAAGACTTCCCATAGGAAAGAACATCCAAGTAAGATCTACAGGAAATATGAAGGTAGAAAGAACAGAAGAAAACATGCTTAGACAAAGAAATAGCATTAGAAAATCCCAGAGTGGAGAAAAAATAAGGCTCCAATAAACAAACTGTAAGTATGAAGAGGACCAAGGAGGTGGGGGGGGTGGCTGCGGAGGCACCTATAAAGATAAACAGGAACCAGAACAAGGACATTTAAAGGGTCATATACACACATGGAAGAGCTTGGACTTTATTTCCAGGGAAGCCAGGATGCACAGGTGTTTTTCCACAGATCCTGTGCCTGGGGGGTCTGGCTGCAGCCCTGACATCAGAGGGCTGGAATGGAGACCTACCTGGCTCATGTCCTTATACCTCCAGTCCAGGGGAGGGCTCTCTCTGAGGTGTGGGCATCTCTGACCTGGGAGTGTGGAGGGAAAAAGGAAGTTGTTCCAAACTTTCTGAGTTTTGCTTCTTCCATTATCATTTCTCTTAAAAAGCCAGAGGAAAGGAAATTTTCCAAGGAGCCCTGACAGGACCCATAGGAAAATGAATGACTCATCAACCAGAGATCTATTTAGTGATTATCAATGTGCAAGGAATTCCTTTACAAAGAATCCATTGGCACTCCAATAAATAAATTTTATTTATTTAAATACTGGCAAAAGAAAAATAAGAAAAGAAATAAGAAAAGAAAAATAAAAAAGAACATTTGAAATAAGTACTACAGAAGAAAAAACTCCTATATTATGCACCTTTCCAGGAACAGGTACATTCCTCCCCAGCCCCCCATCTTCATAGGCACAAAGACACAAAAAATTTCTAGTGGAAAGAATGACTCAATCTTTTTTCTGTAAATGACTAACTTCTCATTAGTATAAAAATAGCTAACATTAGTTGAACATTTACTTTGTACCAGAAAGACATTAACTGTTTTACATACATTGCTTTATCTAATCCTCCCATGACTGACAGGTAGGTAGGTATCATCATTATTCCCACTTCATAGATAGTAAAACTGAGGCTAAGAGGTTAAATGACTCACTCACATCACAGAGCTCACAGTGATGGTACCAAGGATCCAGACTCAGAATCTCAACCACTACACAAGGGTTTCAACAGGCAAAATTCACACCTGCATCAACAACATCTAGGGTACTTGTTAAAAATACAAATTTCTTCAGGTCCACTCCAGGCCTATGGAATCAGAAATTCTCCATAGGGGTCAGGTCTAGGAACCATATTTTAATCAGGTACCCAGGGCGATTCTTAGGGACACTGAAGTTGGAGAAACACTCCACTCTCTACGCCATTCAGAAGGACTTTAATTGATAAAAGTAACTGTCCCAACCTCCCAGGGGGGAAAAGTGATCTAAGGGAGGAACATTAGCTTTTGATATCTTTGAGTATGAATGCTCCCAGTAGTAAAACTGTCAGATTGGTAAAGTGAAATCTAGCTACCATCTGCCTCAGGGCTCTTGCTCTAATAAAAGTTGGGGCTGCTCCCCACAGTCGGCACCCTCTGGTACCCCTGCTCTTGAGCCTGGAGCAGCCTTTCCTGACTGCCATAACTGATGGCACTCAGATGAAGTAGAAGGAGAGGCATCCATTGGCCTCCACTCCCAGCTCTGTCCCTTACTAACTGTAAAAACAGAAGAGTTCCTTAAATTCTCTGGACCTGTTTTGTTATCTGTGAAATGGGAATAATAACTCTTGGGAAACAGCTTTGCAACAAAGAGTAGGTTAAATTTTATCCGATACTTTATGTAAGATTTATCTAGTCTAAAGACCTGATGTCTAAGAGGTCCTCAATAAATGGTGGTGGTGGTTTCTATAAATAGCCACTCTGGGATGGTCCTTCGATTTTGTGTCCAGTTTCAGGACAATGGGCAAAGAGCCTTGGTCTTTTAATTGGACAGATGTGGGCTACGTCTGGGCTTGGTCAGTCCCTGGGAGACCCTGGGCAAGTTAATTAAACTCTCCAATGTTCATCTTCTCATTCCTTACACAGGAAGAGAGGTCTGCTTCCTAGTTCTTTAAAGAATTAAAAGAAAGTATGCAAAGTTCTCATACAAAGTAAGCCCTCAACATCTATTGTTTTCCCTCCCACTTCATAGCCAATGCACCTTGGTTTCTCAACAACCTCAAAACACGGTTTATTATCATTTTAGCTTTGCGTATTTTATTGAATTCTAATTCCTTTTAAGTCAGCAAGATAGAACTTCCATAATTTCTCATTAGTTTATTGACTGGGACCCAAACATTATCTGAATATTAGATATGGACCATTTCCTAGCCCTTCCTTATCAGCCCAAAGGATTTGGCCAGACTTTGCTCCCTTAGAGACCATGTAGCTCAAGCTGTGTCCCTTCTCGGCAAGATATTGGCAGCCAACAGAGGGGAAGGGACAGAAAATCCAGGTCAGCTGCAAAGATGATCAAATAGTTGGAAAAAGGATTCGTGAAAAAATTGATTTTAACAAATAGAAATTGTTTCTTCGGAGATATTGAGGACAATTCAGTGTGGGTCGTCAGCACACCAATGTTTATGCTCCAAGGAAAGGTGCTACTTGGTTACCTCCCATTGCCACAAAAGATGAGGGGCTCTGGGCCCAATCACAGCAGGAGAGATTTAGAGTAAACGTGAGAAAGATGATGGCAACAACAAAGCTGACAGTTCCTCTGATTTGTCTTCTATTATCCTTTGTAAATCTCCCAGAATCATGATTCAAACGTCAGGCTTTGGCCACAGATGATTACTTCTCTAAGCCTCATTCATTCACTCAACACACAACTGGGGAGATACACAACACTGTGTCTGCAGCAAGCACTGTACTAGCCTCATGTTCCCCAACTGTGTGGCATTACAGTCCGGCTGGAGTACATGTTACATACAGGGTCTGTAGAAAGGCATCTCTAGAGTGTAATGATCATTTATTTCCTTGTTCAGGAACTTTGGAAATTCCTACGCCACCCTATTGGTAAAGATACTAAGTTGCAAATTCCTTGGTATGCCATTCAAGTCCTTTCAAGGATCTCACCCTCCTTTCTAGTCTCATCTCTCAAGATTCCTATAAGATGTCTCAACTACACACAGTTCCCTAAATCTACTTTGGTGAAGACATGCTCTTCTACCTTAGGGGTTTTGCCCATGCTATTTCTTCTGTTTGGCATGCTCTGCTTCCCACCATCTCTGAACCTCTGGAAGTAGAGCGGCCTTTGTAGTAAGTAATTGACACATTGTGAGTTCTGTGTATCAGCACCCCTGATAGATTGGGAGCCTCCAGAAACCAGGAATCATGGAACATCCTTATGGTCTACTGGTTAGCTAAGTAACTCACATTACGTCATCAATATGTAGATGATTGGTATAGTAAGGAAGGAAGGGATAGAGAGAGGGAAGTAGAAAGAAGGAAGGAAGGAAGGAAGGAAAGAAGGAAGGAAGGAAGGAAGGAAGGAAGGAAGGAAGGAAGGAAGGAAGGAAGGAACTTGATCCATATAATGGGATAATACTTCTGAATCTTAATTATAGTTCTCTCCAAAGGCCTCTTTTCACTTCCTCCACCATCCCTCCACCCCCACCTCTGCCTTGAACTTGTAACCCACTATAGAAACTGAAGCAAAAACAAAATCAGCTTGAGTCAGAACTCAGGCACACATCTACAGAGTGAGTTTTTATGCTAGCAGGTATTAGCTAGATGACCCTGACTGAGAAAGAAGGGGAAAAGAAGGAGTAGCTCTCAGATCAGAGAGGAAGACACAGAATAATCTCAAGGTCAGTAGGACTAAGGTTTAGACTGGGAGGGTGAGGAAAGACCTTCCTTTGAGAGCACCTGGGAGTTACGTCAAGACAGACTTAGTTCTAAGTTGTCATGCTTCCTCCCATCCAAGGAAGACTAATTGCCCGGAGTCTACCTCCTGCCCAGGGAGCATCCCTCTGGAGATAACTGGTCAGGGCACTGGAGATGCTGCCCTAGCTTCTGCCCACCATGAGAACCCTGGACTTCTACAACCCAGAGATCTTGTATGAGAGACATGGATGCTTGTGGCCTGAGAGTGGTATGAAACAATCCAACATGGTCCCTCCTGGGTTGAACTCAAGACACGATGAACAGGAACATGATTACTGAGACTGTCTGAAGGGCCACCACGGTCCCCTTTAGTGATTTCCTGCAACAGATTTTATGAAAAGTGGGAGTTCCGACCTATGGCCACCAGGACGGGCAACCGGAAAGTTCATTTGGAACCTGTGTTAGTTTCCTAGGGCTGCTCTAACAAATTACCACAAACTGGGTGGCTTAAAACAACAGTAAGAACTGGTATGAAATCTACTATCTCACCATTCCAGAGGGTAGAAATCTGAAACCAAGGTGCCAGCAGGGCCACGCTCTAGAGGCTCCAGGAAGAATGCTTCCTTGCCTCTTTGAGTTTTTTATCGTTGCTGGCAATTTTTAGGGTTTCATGGTAGCGGCAGCATAACTCCCATCTCAGCCTCCCTGTTACTGTGTTGGCCTATGTCTCCCTACACTAGTGATTGGATTTAGGGTCAATCCTAATCGATTATGACCTCAGCTTAATTTGCATCTTAATTACACGTGCAAAGCCCTATATCCAAGGTCACATTCACAGGTACCAGGAGTTCAGACTAGACTATAACTTTGGGGGAACATAATTCAACCTACAACAGAATCTTGTTATTTCTTACCACAGCCTTCAGTGAAGTGGCAAATTAGATGCTATGTGATAACTTGCTCTATACATGTTTTTACTCAACTATTGGGAAAATCACATCCAAAAAATGACCCAACTACATTAGAATTTCCTAATTAGTGGGGGCGCCTGGGTGGCTCAGTCGGTTAAGCGGCCGACTTCAGCTCAGGTCATGATCTCGTGGTCCGTGAGTTTGAGCCCCGCATCGGGCTCTGTGCTGACAGCTCAGAGCCTGGAGCCTGTTTCAAATTCTGTGTCTCCCTCTCTCTGACCCTCCCCTGTTCATGCTCTGTCTCTCTCTGTCTCAAAAATAAACGTTAAAAAAAAAAAATTTCCTAATTAGTGTTTTGCAGAATACCGTATATGAAGATGTAATTAACTGTGCCAGGACTCAAGGGTTATGTATCTATTAGGGCCCCAATCAGAAGGAAAACCAAAAAATGATATATATTATATGTTATGTATCATAGACAAAGTATCTATGATATATAGCATATATAATATCACATATATATTGTCAAAAATTAAGAGATGGCTAAAGTAAAGTGCAATTAGTAACAGTTTATTGTGCACACACCAAAAAGGCACTTTGCAAACTGGGAGCATTTAAACCAAAACATGGAGTGAGGCTCAAGGGTACCTTGTTACAGAGCAGCTACTATAGTGAGAAAGTAGTGACTGTTTTTTTCTTTCCAGTGATTGGTTATAATAGTAAATTTTCTTCAATGATAGGGAATCAGTCAGTGGTTATTTCATATCAACCTTGGGAAATAGTTCAAGTTTTCCTCATGATTTCCAGAGGCATAAACAAGAAATGACCCTGGTTGAGTTAGACTTGCAAATAAGCTAAATTAAGCTTTGTATGAATAAACTGGTTTTGTCTGCTCAGGGAATTTTCAAGATTAGTCTCCATTTGTTTCTGCTTTTAAAAATATCACATATCCATATGGGGCACCTGGGTGGCTCTGTCCGTTGAGCGACCGACTTCGGCTCAGGTCATGCTCTCACAGCTTGTGAGTTCCAGCCCCGCCTCAGCTCAGAGCCTGGAGCCTGCTTCAGATTCTGTGTCTCCCTCTGTCTCTGCCCCTAACCCACTCGCATTCTGTCTCTGTCTCTCTCAAAAATAAATAAACATTTAAAAAAATTTTTTTTAATTTAAAAATATCATATAAATACACAAATTTTATATTATATAATTTGGGAACTTTTAAAGAAATCTCAGTAAAGCCGTTGTCTTTCTGTCTGTTGTTGGAGCTTGAAGTCCAATGAAGAAGGAAAGATGAATGTAAAGTGGGGGGGAATAAAGGTACGCTAAAATCCAACGGCACAGCTAGCACCCAGGTCGCACTGCCTCTTACCACACTGGCATAGGCATCCTCCTGTAGGAGAAGCTGGTGCTCTGCACGTGGGAGTTAAACATAACGCCTGGCTTCAGGGTTGGAGAAGCTGAGAGAGGATTCTTGGAAAGGTAGAGAAGTTGCCGGGGCAGCTGTAAGGTGGCTCCACATCATTAAGGTGGGTCAGCAGATAAGCAACCACGTGAGAGCTACAAACCGCTGTGCTCCATTTCCTCCATTTCCGCCTTGTAACTTGCGCCTACCCTAACTGGAAACACAGAGAGAAGGGAATTCTGGGAAATGTAGTTCAGCCTAGCCAAGCTGACACATTACAAAGCTACCATATATCCCATAGCCAACCGTTGAAAACCACAACATGCCCTATCTCTCGGAAAGACTCACAAGCACATTACTGTGTTAAAGGCTCAGCCAAGTCCTCAAGTTTAAAAATAAATATTTAACTCTGATCTAGGATTTCCCACACTTAGAATCACTGCTTTTGGAGATTATTAACTCATCATAGAAACTCAATGATTACTTATTACTGTGATGTCTGTCTGGGGGGGGGATAGTTCTACGAGTGAATTTCAGAAAAAAACTTTGTACTGAGGTGCTGTGTCTTTCAGAATGTCAGTAAAAGTGCAGGGTACTAAGTGGAGAAGAGCTTCCTCAATTTACTCCTCAACGTATTCAGCCATTCTCAATTTCAAAGACAAATATATTGAATTTAGGCAGCAGTCTGAAGAAATGTAGAACTTTTCAAATAATACTAAGTAACCTATTTTTAATGTGGTAGCTCTATTTTATTTTCATTAAAGGCCTAATAAGGAAAGCTCAGTTGATTTCCTATTTGCAAGTAATATAATTTCCTACAGAAGCAACATGTACACACACATCTGGTAACTTATAGTCATTGTATTAAACATTTCAAAAGTAGATTGAAAAATTGAAGCATATGCTACCATTTGAGGCAGCATACTAACAGTAAAGAACACAGACTCCAAAACCAGACTGCTTAAACTCGTAACTCAGGTCTACCACTTATTAGCTGTGTGACATAGGCTAAGTTACTCAACTACCCTGAGCCTGTTTTCCTATATATAAAACGGGGATAGTAGTAATATTTCCCCCTCCATAAGTTATAACGAGTATTAAAGTATGTAATATTTGCAAAGTGCAAACATTACAATGTGCTTGGCACGTTGTGAATGGTGGGTGTGTGTGTGTGTGTGTGTGTGTGTGTGTGTGTGTGTGTGTACAGTTCCTCACAGCAATCCCTGAAGGGTTTATACTATTATACCAATTTGATAGATGAGGAAATCAAGTCCTCTTGAGGTGAAGCCATTCTCTCTCAGGTCACATGGCATGAGTCAGAGCCAGGACAAAACCCGAAATGACTCTGACTCTAAAACATGGTCTCATTCCACAAGGCCATGGCACCTCCCAAGCAAAGCTTAATGTCTCTCTGAGACTTCTTCCTGAAAGTCTCAAAAGACAAAATCAAATTGACTAGGTCCAGAAATGGAATTAGTCCCTCTCCCCAGGGGTACTAAAGTTGTTGCTGTCACTCATTCTTGACCTAGACTAGATATGAATGCAGAGCTTAGAATGCAAGGCTCCATGGGTTTATTTTGCCCTGAGTTTACATGGTCCCTAGAAAGTTCTCTAAATACTTTCAATCAAGGGCTCAGAAAAATTTTTAAAAATAACCTTGCACATACAATTAGAAACTGGCATGTGGGGAATTAAATATAAGATGAAATTGTCTGTGATTTTCAGGGACTACTTGAAGGGAGGTGCTTTGAAGAAAATACCTCAGACTCTCAAAACCCACACAAGGGGTCCGACATGACTGTCCACAGCAGGGCTCACGTGAGCTTGAGGGCAGAGACTCTGAGCCAAGCAAGACCCTCCTCTCACCGCCAGTCAGAGACGGAGAGAGACCAGGCTGGAAGGGTCTGAGGCGGGTGTAGCTGTGTTGTTATGATTTTAATGACTATTACAGGAATGTGAGTCAGGAGAATATTTTAAAAGCAAGTCTGAAAGAATCCCTTTCACATAAAAATCATGTACCTGTATGAGCATGGTTGAGAAACAGATCAAAAATAAATTTCCACACATGTCTATAATTGTTCAAGTAATTTGAAGGATGGATGCCTTCCGGACACCAGATCACGGTTTCTCTACAGGCTGTGAAATAGTGAAAAGGAGAAAAGAGGTTTGTTCGCAGTTCTCCAGGAAGCTTCTCTGATGCCTGCCGCCTGCACTGATTTCGCACATCCCTGGACCCCTCCTGCCAATATAGTCAGCGCAACATGTTTTGAGTCTGTGATTTTTCTACTTATTCGCTGACTGACCTAAAGTAAACTTCCTAACTTCTCTCATCCTGTTTCCTCAATGTCAAAATGAGAAAACTAATCCCAGTCTCACAGGTTGCAATGAGAATGAACTTAGCCAGCTACAAGGGCAGTTTCAGCAGTGTTTGGCACAGAGTAAATGCTCGATAAATGGTAGTGTTTCTTGGGCTCTCCACGTCGCTGCCTCCTGCCTCGCAGGCCCTGGTCCTGGATATTAGCCATGGGAACTATTGTGAGACTCACGAGAACTTGAAAATATCTGTTTCTGAGATTTCAGCTCTAAAATCATCACAACGTTGGATCCAATCACGGAGTTAGCCTAAAGTTATAAAATGACCCTCAAGGCAGAATAAGGCCTGATTTAGATATTAATTTTGTAAAAGAATGAATGTGTGAGTATCTGTGAAAGGCACATTGGTGGCTTCCTCAGAACTCCTTTGGATACAAGTGACAGAAGCCCAATTCAAATAACAATGATAATAATAATGGTAATTTATCACATCATTTAGCCGGAAATTCAGGAGAGCTCTTATTCCCAGTGCTAAAAAAAAAAAAAAGACAAGTGCTCAAACAGCGTCATCAAAAGTGTTTCTCCATTTCTCAGGGTGCCTGGGTAGCTCAGTTGGTTAAGCGTCTGACTTCAGCTCAGGCCGTGATCTCACAGTTTGTGAGTTTGAGCCCCCTATGGGGCTCCAGGCTGATGGTTCAGAGCCTGCTTGGGATATACTCTCTCTTCCCTCTCTCTTTCTGCTCCTCCCCCACTCACACTTTCTCTCTTTCTCAAAACAAAAAACAAAAAACAAAAAACAAAACTTTTTAAAGGAGTGTTTCTCCCTTTCTCTGTTTTGTTCTCCTCTGTGTTGGCTTCATTCTTAGGCAACCCCTCAAGTGAGGTGGACGTAGCTAACACTATTACTAGCCAAGGACTCTCAAAGTATTTGATTTGCTGACATGGAATCCCATACAATATGTCCAAGGAACCCATTTTACAGTTAAGCAGGCAATGCTGTGAGCACGTAATAATGGGACACACTGGTCCTAGCACATACCACTGATAATTAGCAGCAGGGGTCCAATAAGCAGTGATATGGCCATTTGAAGGCACTGCTGGGGCACTGGCTTGAGATGATACCTTGCTAAGACAAGAGGCCACCTTATGTACACTCCAAGACATCTCACATACATGATATTGGTGACCATTATGGGTGCTGGTGCTATATTCCTTGTCGGTAGAATATACATACGTGGGAACCAGAGGGTGAAACTAGAAATGACCTCACTGACCATCGCTCTCAAGGATCCATGAGAACACCTGAAGGATCTGGTTCCCGGGGACTTACATGCTTCCCATTTCCATACCTTTGTGCTGCATGAGCCTAAATGTCCTGGTTTCTAGAAGGCACAGAGCAAAGGTCCCATTAAACTTTAAGCTATAGCTTCTGCCAAGTTATTTCAAGGTGTTCATGCCAAGAGAACAGTGGAAAGGAGTCACCATTTTGGCAGAGCTGGGATTGTGATCACCCGGAGAAAGCTGTCACACACAGGAGGCAGAGAAAAACAGATTCAGCACCCCGATGGCCACAGGGGTGTTTCCTGGCACTCCCCTGCACCATTTTGATGGCTAATGGAAAAAGACAACAGCCTTGGCCTGACATGGGCATGGAGACTAGGAATGAAGATCCGGGTTGCCCACCAGCTATGCCACCTAGACCAAGTATGAGAGGGCTCTGGACATGTGGTAGAGGAGGGAGATGAGGAGTATGGCTCTGGCCTTGAGACAGCCACAGCAGTGAGCACTGGAGTTTATTCCACCAATGTTCCTCTCATATGTTTACTATCGGAAGACTCCTGGATGAATCCTGGAGGCACTCATCCCAGACGGGACACATCCTCTGTGTGAAGTGGATCCAAGTGCTACATGGATGAGGTGGGGGTGGGGGAGCACTGTGATGTGCTACCTGACCCCGCGGGACTGAAACATGCCCACTTTCATAGATACTGGGAACGTGGGCGGACAATTTCTCCCCACCGAATCACTTTCAGGGGTTTTCTCTCGACAAAAGGACTTACCTTAACTCCACTCACCTCTGTTTTATGCAAGGGTAAAAGAGGTCCGATATCCTCACCTCAATCCAGGACAATCTGAATGGTCATCCCGGCACCAGATAACCCACGGGCCTCTGTGGCAACCCCACTTTCGACGTCCTCCTCTGCCCAGCTGTGCCTTCCTCATTTGTTTGTAGTGATGTTCCTGAGATCAAGCCTCAGAGCAGCTCCTGCACAAAAACCTTCACCTAGAGTCTGTTTCTCCAGGCCCCTTACCTGGGACAATAGCTGACATCTATGGAAAAAGTAAAATAAAAAAGGAAAAGAAAGGAGCACCTGGGTGGCTCAGTCAGTTGAGCAGCCAACTTCAGCTCAGGTCATGATCTTATGGTCAGTGAGTTCAAGCCCCATGTCAGGCTCTGTGCTGACAGCTCAGAGCCTGGAGCCTGCTTCAGATTCTGTGTCTCCCTCTTTCTCTGCCCCTCCTCTGCTCATGCTCTGTCTGTCTCTTTCTCAAAAATAAATAAACATTAAGAAAATTTAATAAAAAAAGGAAAAGAAAGATGTTAATATGTATTGACTGCTTTGCCCTGTACTAGTGCTTTTCAAACTTCTTTTACCTCAACTTGTAGTAAGAAATACAGTTTTCATGGTAACTTGGTGTGTGTGTGTGTGTGTGTGTGTGTGTGTGTATGCATGAAACTGAAGCAAGAAAATGTCACTATCCAATACATACCTTCATTAATGTGACACACTCTGATATTTTCTATTCTACTTGAATGTTTTTAAGCCAGTCACTGTACACTATATTGATTTAATACTTAATGATCTTGAAGTACACTTTAAAAAACACCACCCAGTGCTAAGACTCTTCACATGTATT